CGAGCAATTGACAGTCAGTCGACGTCCAATGGTATGACACATTGGATATCGCTACGAAAATGTCGAAAGTCCATCCGGATGTATCCGGTTGCATTGTTCTGTTATAAAACTCGGCATTGGAACTTTCTGTGGCAGCATTATTAAGTTCAGGTGCCAGCTAGAGGACGTTATTTCTGTCTCTAACCTTGTATAAGTAATTACAGGACACTGTGCCATTCGCACCCATGCCAGGAGTCTAGGTATTGGATATAACGACTACTGTAGAAGTTGTCATAATTAAGAAAAAGATGGAACTGAAAGCAGGGAACAACACTTCGGTGCTCCCTTTTTGTCAGGCATGAAGGATCTTTCTGGAAATGATATCCTATGCTTCATAAATGAAACCGGTTGGTTTAGTTCTGGAAGCAGAGAGTGTTATCAGAATACACTCATGTGACCACTAGGGTAACACAACGGGACCAACTTAAATGGACCCAAGTGAGCTACTTATGAAACAGCTGCCCCCGATATCTAACCTTTTATTTAATGTAAGTTGTTTGCACTGAGAAGTAAAGGAGGCTGTCAAAGTCTATCTTTCTATTTTCCGGTTTTTAACCACAATTCATCGTTTGGTCTAAGAGGTAAAAAGTGAGAACTTATTTTGAACTCGTTTGGTCTAAGAGGTAAAAAGTGGGAACTTATTTTACGTTCCTGGAAAAACGTATGTTATGGTAACCAAATAGTTCGTGATTTTGGCACTTATGCCGTCGATATCAGTATACAACAACACAGAGTTATCTGTGCGGGGTTCAGCAAGATAAAACTTAAAGAGTATCGGTGGGATTACTTTTGCTTGTGCCACGACCATCTTTCTGTAGATCTTTTGTTGGGGAGTATGTGATGTCGTTTGAATTTATTGAGGCCATTGGAAGTCTGGGAGGTTATGTGGTTTGTGACGAGCGGGAAATTCTCTATCAGGGTTGGTAGTAGTAGCGATTCTAATATTTCTTTAATTCTCCTTGAGTAGCGGAATTGTCTGGTTTTAGAATTAAGATAACCCGAGCTAACTTCAATATATCTGGAATCACCGATTGGTGTATTGAGAGTTCCAGAAGGTGGGTAAGATATTCCAGATATTTTTTAACTCAATATAAAGATACCATCCGGACCCAGAGCTTTTGAAAGTTTCGTCTTGAAGATTATGTTTTTGACTCCACGGTAAATGTGGCTGAAGTATGGCTGAGGATCTCGGTTGTGATTATTAGTTCTTGAAACTACACACTTTATTGAGACTTATATTGATCATATTATATACAAGATTGGCATGGAATTCTTAAAAATATCTTATGTTTCTTTGGAAATAACAATTTACTGTATCTATGAACTCAAAATGATGTTCAACATCTTCAAAAAAATCTTGGGACACTCGTCAAAGAGTTAATTTCTATAATTACTTATGGTTTTTTTCTTTTCAAAAAAAATATAAAAAAGGTTTTATCTTATTAAGCAACAAAACTGAATATAACACTTTTCTAATTTCTTTCTGAATAAAATTTCTAAACATTTCCATTTTAATTAAAAAAATTTCATCACATTTCTAAAAGTAAACAAAACAACTATCAACAACTTTGTACCTTGATCTACAAATAAAGTAGTATAGAAAACTTTTCATTAATAAACTCTATATCCAAGAAAATCCTTGTCAAAAAATGATTGTCTCAAGAATTGTTTTAAACACTACCATGAGTTTATATTCAAAAACAACATAGCCTTTCACCCATATTTTTGGTCTTTTCATAGTTTTAAAAAGAAAAACTTTTTTGTGTAATATTTTATGCAAATTTAAAAATTTTTTCTTTCGGGGTTTTTATTTCGACAACTAACCCCAAAGGTCGCCTACAATACAAAAACAGCAAAACAAAGTAAAATATAATCTAAGTATAAAAATCTTGCAAAAATCTAAACCAAAAAAGTAGTTGTTTAGTTGTGTTCTACCAAACGAACCCAAAAAAAGAACATAGAAAATAATATAATATTTATAGCAACAACAGTATAAAATTCATATTAAATGTAAAATTACAAGTACAACAAATGTAAATGAAAAATTTTAAAGACAAGAAAACAAACTTATTCAGTTGCACAAGATTTACATAAGTATGTACTCATATGCTTGGTTCTATCCTTGTTTAAAACTATAGGATAAACAAATATAGTAAAATTAACATTTTTTTGCAAAAAGAGAAATTCAAATTAATTTTAGTATATTTATATCAACAATGTCTGCCTGCTAGACTATTAGATATGTTTTGTATTATAGAGAATACTTAAATTCACATAATAGTTGTACTTTGGGCACATCGAGAACATATTATAAACCCAAAGGAAATTATTTTATTTATTTGTTAAGGACTATTAAGACACCTAACAAAATATTACACAGAATCTTATTAGAAAGTAAGTCGTAATAACACAGAAAAATTTGTGTCCAGTTCTAATCATGAAAGTAGTAATGTTTTTGACACCCATCCTAAAGTATGCTCAGAATCACTTTCTGATTCGACTATGCTATGTCCATCCATGTAAACCTCGTAGTCAAAAACACAAGTAGCAATTTTTAAAATAATTCGATGATTTTAGTTATTAAAATCGTTAGATTTGTTGATATAGCACCCATATCACTGTCCCCTTTGTAATTGAATATATAATTTGTACATAAGATATTTAGGAACCAAATATGATACATGTTAGATCTAAGAAATAATACTGTAAAGTATGATGATATTATCGAGCCCATTCAATGCCCATATCCGAAAAGGTAAGTGATATAAAATCTCCTGACATGAAAATAACACCTATCGAAAAGAAAACTTCACAGAAAGTTTCCTCAAATATTGAAACCACTATAAGCTGTTTAGTTATAATTAACAGAGATTTCCAAACAGATGTAAACTTTTTAAGAGTATTCAGCAATAGCAAAGCTTGGAAAGAAGGAATTCTATTTGGAATTCATTCCCTTATATTTTTAATTCGGCTTTAAATTTTTGAATGTACCATTCTTTAAAATCATTATGTGAATTTAAATTCTAAAGCTGATTTCCTTGGCTTTATATTCCATTAAATTAATTCCTAAGAGAATACATTCTTTATAGGAATGAATTCAATTGAATGCTCACTCAAGAAAAAAAATTTAATTAAATTTTTAATATCGTGACCCTATATTCAAAAAGTGCGAACTCAATTTTGGGCAAAGTGAGTTTTTGATGCAAAAGGATTCCTCAATGCATGATCCACGTCTGGTATAAATTTGAAACCAAAAAAGTAATTTTTGCACTTTTAACAACAATTTTTGTTAATATGCTATCTCAAAAAAAAAAAAATTATTGAAGAAAATAAGTGCTTCCATACAAATTTTACAACATTTTTTAAAACTTCAAATTTATTTAAAATTTGTTTTGTATATTAACAAGATGAACATGCTGAACACAAAACAGGTGAAGATTAATAAAATGAATGTATAGTTTTTAAGATATGATCATTTATATATTTGTATATAATGCCAGTTTTAGACATTAAATAATGTTTTTCCAAAAAATTTAAAGTTATTTCAAAAAATGTAAAGTTATTTCAGAAATCGTTTATAACACTAAGATCTATAATATTCTATGGTTCCAATTAAGAATTTTGATTATAAAAAAGTCTTTAAATGTGCAAATTATGGTGTATTATTCAAAAAATATTGGTACTTTTTATATTCAAAAACTTTTCATAATTTAAAATATTTGTACTGAGAATAAGGAATAGTAAACAAGCAGATATGCCATGAGTTTTTCTACTTAAATGGTGTAAATGCATCTTATTGAACTTACTGGTTTGACTAAAATAACTTTTTTTTTATCAAAAGATATTTTTTGAACAATAAATAAAAAAATATATTTTTTCAGTTCTATTCATTTACTTTCCTAGTAAGAGACCGTAAAATAAAAATTTGCAAAATTACTTTCGCAAATCCTCAAAAAACTTAATAGTAATGATTTTACTAAGATGTAGTTAATGAAATTTTACCGGCAATGCATAATAGATTTCAATTTACTGATACTGATTTTTTCAGTATTCAGTAAAAATTTACTGAATACTGCATTTTTTTTCATTAATCAGTAAAAATTAATGAATACTGATTTTTTTTTTCAGTAATCAATAAATTTTTACTGAATACTGATTTTTTTCCAGTATTCAGTAAAAATTTACTGTATACTGATTTTTTTTCAGTAATCAGTAAAATTTTACTGGTAATGCAATCTAAATTTCATTTTTGTTCTATTCTTTGAACAAAACATGCTAACTTAGAACAAATATTTGTTTTTTTTTTGTCGACCAAAAAGTGCTATCTTAAATAAGTCGCTAAAATGTGCAAAATATTAAAAATTTTTCATAGGTAAGAATTAGTAAGGATGTTAAAAACGTATTGTGGAAGAAATATTGTCTTTTAGTGCAATATTTCACGAATTAAATAGTTTTTTTTACTTTCCTGAAAACTAGACTTTATTGATTTAGCACTTTTTTAATATAGGGTATCGATATAAAGAATGCTTTTGAATTATAAAACAAAACTTTCATTCAATCTATTTCAAATTGAATGGTTGAAAATTTTTTAAATTCAATTTGTAATAGATTGAATTTAAAAATCAATAGGAATTGTTGAAATTTATTTTAATTCAATTTGTAACAGATTGAATGCAAACAAAATTCATTCAGAAGGAATTTAACATTCTATAGGAATTAATTCAACTACATCGAAAGCTTTAAGAATCAATTCTAGGAATGAAATCAAAGGGAATGAGTTTGAAGAATTGTTAATTCTTTAAAATATAACTCAATTTCAAAAAAAGAATTAGGGAATGAATTCTTTTAAAGCTTTGAGCAATAGTTAATATTTTAACAAACCTCAACTTCCTAACAGTTTAGTTTAAAATATCAACAGAATGTCAATTAAATCTATAGAGATAATATAACTATGTACTTACTGCCATCACTATGAGCAACACCCTCACGTAGCAAAAAATAACGTAAACCTTCCATAGTGTACAATTCAGAAGCCGCTAATGGATCGACTACATTGTTTTTACTCTTTGACATTTTCTGGCCATCAACTGTCCAGTGAGAATGAACAAATAGTTGTTGTGGTGGTTCGAGGCCTAAAATTTCAAGAAATAACAGATAAATAAAAACATAAATAATGCAACAACTGTTTCATTTATTCGAAATATAGAAATTAATCCATATCACGTTAATTACTTTAAATCACTTACCTGCCGCTATTAAAAATGCCGGCCAATATATGCCATGGAATTTCAAAATATCTTTGCCCAAAACTTGCAACTTTGGCGGCCAATTTGTTTTGAATTTAGGATCTGGGTAACCGGCTGAAGTTAGATAATTCACTAGAGCATCCAACCATACATAAATAGTTTGGCTGGGATCATGCGGTACCGGTATAGCCCATGGTACTCTTTGAGCTGGTCTTGATACAGAAACATCGGGCAAAGGCTCGGAAAGCATATCAAATAAAATCTTTTCAAATTTAAAAGGTTTCACCTTATCACCCTGTTTCAGCCAATACAATACCTCAGATTGTAATTTAGATAAACGGAACATATAATTCTGTTCCTCAGTCCATTCAACGGGATGGCCGGATTCCAAAGAAAATCTTTGGCCTGTTGACTCGTCTAAACGTAATTGAGACTCGGTTAAGAATGTTTCATCAGATACACAATACCAGCCTTCATAATTGGCGGAATAAATGTGATCTTTGTCTTTAAGGGTTTGCCAAAAGTGACTGACCGCCTTTTTGTGGCGATCCTCTGTGGTGCGTACAAAGTCTGTATTTTGTATGATGGCTTGTTGAAATACGCTGCGATATCTGGCCGAGATATCTTGACAATATTGTTCAACTGGTATGTTGTGATTTGTGGCTGCCTCCTGAACTTTGGTGCCATGTTCATCGGTACCCGTGCACAGAGAGACAGCATGAGCATGTTCAGGATTTTTTAGTTTTTCATAACGGCATACAGCATCAGCGATAACGGCCGAATACAGATGCCCAATATGAGGAGCTTAATTGGGATAAAAACGACATAATCATTGAAAATTCTAATTGGAATGTAAATAACTTACCCGCATTTACATAGAATATGGGAGTTGTTACATAAAACGAAGGATGGGCAGCAGCACACAATCTTCTTATGTTCTGAACTCTTGGAATTAACATGATTTCTGTTTATTTTCATTTAATTAATAGATTTTCTTTTATTTAAATTACGAAATCACACCAAAATTTACACTCACGATAAAAAAGCCCGGCACTAACTGAAGTTTGAACAGCTGTGATTTGTTATTGTTGTCATATGTTCAGTGGTGAGATATTAATGCAACCCTGTGGGTGTTCAGTTGTTAGGGTGCTACTTAAAATAAATAATTTTGTTGATAACATAACATTTGTCTTAATTAACATCGTTGAAAAGTACTTTCAGACTACAGTACTAAGTTTGTATCATTATACAATTCTCTAGTGTGTTTCGATTCCCAAATATATTACTGATTTTTATAGAACAATCGTAAATTTTCAATTCAAAAACGTTTTATTTTCAAACGTATTTGGTATGATAAATACAATAAAAAACATATAAAAGGTGTAAAATACATTAAATATAAGAATGAAATGTGGTTAAACAAATTGAAAATTGGCTAAAAAAATATTACAAATATTAAATGTAAACATAAAATGTATTTTTTGGGCCAGATTTTTTGTAAATCCAAATTATTTTTATAATAGTTCATATTTGAAGTGCGTTAATACTCAATATTGTAGTCTGAAAATACCTTAATTAGCATACAAATCTATATATATAAAAATGAATGTGTGTTTGTTTGTATATTTGTATGTTTGAACGTTATATACTACTAAACGGCTGAACCAATTTTCTTGAAATTTTCACAGCGTATTCCTGCATGTCTGGAATAGGTATCTCCCATATAGGTATCTCCCATATAAATTAAATACAAAAATTCGTTTATCTGGGAAACTAATAGAACTAAATTCTTAAAATTAAGCACGAAGAACTTTAACATCCATGTAAACATTTTGGGTAATAAATTGGCGGACTACCCATGAGGGGAGCGGCACCTCCTATATTAATTAAATACAAAAATTCGTTTATCTGGGAAACTAATAGAACTAAATTCTTAAAATTTTGCACAAAGAACTTTAACATCCATGTAAACATTTTTGGGTAATAAATTGGCGGACTACCCATGAGGGGAGCGGCACCTCCTATATTAATTAAAGACAAAAATTCGTTTATCTGGAAAATTAATGGAACTAATTTTCTTCAAATTTCGCACAAAGAACTTAAATATTCATCTAAACATTTTGGAGGAAAAAAAAGCGGACTTTCATCTGGGGGGTCTTGAAGCCCCCACATGAATCAAATAGAAAAATTCGTATATCTGAGAAAATATTAGAGCTAGAATCTTCAAATTTTACTGAAGAACATTTAGAGAATAACGGGCGGACTTTCAATGGGGGGCTTGACACTTCCCATATGAATTAAATACAAAATTTTGTATATCTGGGAAACTATTAGATTATTCAAATTTTTCATAGATTAAATTAAAATCTTAATTAACGTTCGGAATAATTGGCGAAATTGCAATAATTTGCGTGGAATCTCCCATATGTAACAAATTGTATATCTGGAAAACCACTGTAGTTAGAATCATCAAAATCGTTAAGTGGGTTTCTTATTTATAATGCAAAATTTTTTAGAAACTGATTTTCTGCAAGATGTTTTATATGGAAGATAGGGTTAAATATCGGCAGATCCTAGTAAAACTTGGAGAAAGGATTTGTTTTTAATTTTTAAGAATTTTTTATTCATCACTGCATAATTTCTCAGACAACTTTTGAGCTTGCTCTGTTTTGTTGTTATAAACAATATATTTGCTTCCAAAATCCCACTTTCTGATCTCTCGGATTCCGTTTTTATTTAAAATCGTTGAAAAATTAAAAACTAAACGTAGTTGAAAACTTAGCCGGCTTACAGTCGATTTTAAGCCGCCGCCGACATATTTAGAGTCAGTCGCCGCCGCCGTTAATAATTGTCGGCGCAGGGCTCTGATTCTTCTTCGCGCCCTTTTTAATAAACAAATTTTTGTCTTTGCTGCGTATTTTTTCACAAAATATTGTTTATTTTTAATTTATTATCGTCTAAAAATATTCACTACGTTGCTGAAGTACGGAACAATATATTTAACTATAAAATGCCTTATTAAATAAGAGGAAATGGGTAGAATCTGTCCAATACTCAATCATCCTCTTAAGGACGGTCTTTTAGTCGACGATGATGCTCTAGTAAAATTTATACAAAAAAGGAATGTCGATTTTTTACCCAACGAACTTGTGTGCCGGTCATGTAAACGAGAAATTATAAAGTTATACAATAAAAAATTAAAAAAAGCAATTGAATTGCACAAATCACGTTTGCACGAAGGCTCAATTTCATCATATAAAACCTCATCCAGAGCATCTACTATATCGGAAAACTCGTTAACGATCAATGGTTCACGACAAAGTGTACAACATGAAGTGACGCAAAATGGTAGAGCCAGCAATACTAGTACAAGAACAGATCAGAATATTAGCAAAACAAATTCGATTACACAAAATAATAATCACAGTGAACATTCCTTTGATAAATCACATAAGAAACAAGCAACTGAAATCTCTGTAAGCTCAGCTGGTATAAGGCTATCAACTGGTATTAGTAATTCATATTCAATATTGCAGGAGATTCAACAAAACCAAAATAATGTTATTGCGAACATTCCAACGCAAAATGGCAAAGAACATGTGACGATACGCAAAAGAACCATTAAAGACTTTTTAACGGTTAAACCTAAAACTACAACCGAGACAACTAAAAATCCGCAATCTAACAAACCTGATGAAGCAGCTCATATTTCTTACAGTTCGGAGGAGGATGATGATGTAGTTAGAAGACTTTCTCAGCAGCCAGGAACTAGCAAAGCTGTTGCAAATACTAACTCAAAAGCAACTGTGAACTCCAATAAACGACCCATTTCAGCGATTGTGGATAGTGATGACGATGACGAACGCCTTAGTTTAAATGCTTATAATGGAACACGTTTACCACATGTACAGCCCTTTCCACCCAAACGTAAATCAAATCCAGCTGCTACTAAACCTTTGGGATATGATATTATGAATGATTATATTAAGGACGTTACAGGCGGATAGGTTACTTGTATATTATTGTATTAAAGTTAAGTTTGTGAAGTCAACGTCTGTGTGTGTTTTATTATTAATATAAACATTATTATTTGTAATAGATTTATTTTTTTGCCAATAAAGTAATTGTTCAATCCTTTTTCAATTTTACGAAATCCAGTCTATTTTAACTGATAATATAAAGTTGTATAGTGAAATTAGTATCACATTTAATTGTAGCATTCATATCATATCATCTAGTTTTATGTGGACCCTTTCGTGCCAGTAGTGTACTCGACCTAATTCTCTTTGAAACTATAACTTGTAGGTATTTTGGTACGTTGTAATCATGCTAACCTCTCTTTATGTTTTATTAAAACTCCTTAAATTTTGCTTTAAATTGTTTTTATTGTTTTATTTCATTTATTTAGTATTTTTTATTTCATAACACATTTAGTAAGAAAATAATTGAATTCAATTTTATGCTAGTATTTAGTTATAAACTATTCGATTATTATTTTTTGTTTTGTATTATTTTATTTTTCTTTATTTGCAATACATTCATTTTATATGTTTTTGGTTTTCATATACTATTAGTAACTTGTTTTTTATCTATAAAAGAATTATTTTTATATTTTGTGACCTGTACAGTTAAAGGGAGGAAAGGGCTTTTCATTATTTTGTGTATATTTTATCAAGCAATCAATAAAATTGTTTTTTTTTTTATAATTTTAAATTCTAAATTGAAAACTTTTCAATATTATTTAATAAGTATTTATATATACTATTTTCAAAACGGTTTAATTATTGTTTGTTTTTTTTTGTATATTTTTTAAATAATTTTCTATTGTTTAGCTCTAGTTTTATTAATATATACATTTTTGAAACACGATTTTTAGGGGGTAATTATAAAAAAAATATATTGGTTAAATAAAATTATGATTTAGAAATGAAAATTAATATAAAATCTTTCGAAGCAAATAAATAATACACGATCTTCAGATTAGAACCATTTACAACATAATAATTTTTGTCTTATATACTATTAAATCAAAGTATGAATGTATGATCAGATTCTAGACAAGAATGACTGAGAGTTAATCCCTAACTCTATTATTTAAAAGAAAACTATTAGAAAAATTTGAAAAATGTAAAATTTTGTCTTTGAATCTACCTAGTTAGAGACTATAGACTAGATTATAGACTAGACTATAGACTAGACTATAGACTAGTTTGTAGTCCACTCTATAGTCTAGTCTGTAGAGTAGTATATAGTGTGGTCTATAGTCTAGTCTATGGTCTAGTCTATTCTATAGTCTATTCTGTAGTCTAGTCTATAGTATAGTATGTAGTCTAGTCTATAGTCTACTCTATAGTATAGCCTAGTCGTAGTAGTCTCATCTAGATGAAAATTTGTTTAGTACTTTAAAATCTTAAAGATCAGGCATGGAAAATTAAAATTGTTGTGATTGCAAATTACTTCTTAATAGATTCTTTACAAACGATTTCAACAGAACGCATACTAGTCCCGAAATAACATTAATTTATAATAGATAGTAGAGGCGGTAATTCTTAAATAATACCTATGAAGCTAGTGATGTTGTCATTACTTCCGCAACCTGTTTAGTGGAACATTGTTGTTTTTAAAGAACTAGTTCTTTATCCATTGGCATTGAACGAGTACAATACAAGGCATACTAGTTCCGAAACAACATTTATAATAGAAAATAGTGGAGCAGAATTACTTCAAAATATCGTGAACTTTTCGAAATTAGTGATGGTGACATTTCTACTGTAACCGTTTCGATGGAACATTGTTATGACTCCAAAGTATTTCTTAATAGTTTGCAGAGAACTAGTTCTTTTATCTATTGGTACTAAACGAGTTCAACACAAGGCATACTAGTTCCGAAACAACTCTTTTTAATAGAAAATAGTGATAGCGGCAGAATTACTTTAACATATCGAAGAATTTTTTTATATATCTATAACTGAGTCAACTGATTCTCAAAATGTGTAAAAAATCAAAAAACAATTTCAAACAGAAATCGCTGAAAAGGAACTATGTATTTCAAGAACTGTTATAAAGATGGTGTTTTCTAATGCTTTCCTTGCGAAGGTGACAAAATACACTGATTATAGAAATGATTGCAAAACTGTTCCATAGAAACAGTGTCGAAACCGAAACGCTTACACAAAACCAGTTCATAAGATGCCATTTAGGAACTAATTGCGTTTTAGAACTAATTATGAAAGTGAGAAAAATTTTCCTCAGCCAGACACATATTCAGAATGGAAATGTAATCAATTCCGTTCGATTTTGTTCCTCCTTCCACTTTCCATTAAGGTGGACATTTTCTTCTTTTAATTATAACTTTTACCTTTGTGTGTAATTTCGTTTGTGATTTCTTCAATTTAACTTTGAAATCTATAAAGTTTCTGAATACTTATCCCAGAAAGTATCTTCTAGATCCAAATCTTGAATAATATTATCAGGCATACTATCGAGAAGTTTAATATTTAAAAGCAGAAAAATGGTTCTATAAATAACATATATATCAGCAAAATTCCGAGGGAAAACCTTATGATTTATCCAGAAATTTGAATATATTTCGTCAGATATTTCTATATGTATACAGAAACATATTCGAAATAACTTTCATTTGATATACATTACTGATAGGAAAAGAATGTGAATGAGATACATACATATATCCGAATGTAGGGTAAAAATATGGAATTCCATTTATATAATCCAAATATCATTCGCGTATTATACCATAACAAGTTTTAAACATTAAAAACTAAAATAAAGAAACAAATCATAATTTTGTTTAAATAAATTTTTTAATAACTTAAATCATTTCAAATTAAAAAAATACAAATTAAAATGTAAAAATTATACAAGTCTAAATATTTTATACAGGTGTTGCAAAAAAAATTAAATTAAAATACATATTTATAATTAAAAATATTAAAAAAATACAAAACTTAAAACGAAAATTTCTACAACAAAAACAAATTTTATACAAAACTGAAAAAAAAAAAATATATGAGAAAATAAACTTAAATTTCGTTTTTATTTAGAACAAAAAGTTAAAAAAGGAAGAAAAGCTATAAAAAGTATTATCGTTCGACGTTCAAAGTATTACAAAATTTTTTAGTGTCACTAAAGAATTAAAGAAGGAATGAATATCACTTGTATATAATTTTCATTTTATAATGAATTTAATTATACTTAATTAATAGGTTTTTTCGTTTTTTAATAAATATTATATTTTTTAAGGTTAAAAAATAAACTTAATGTGATGTTTTTCAACATTTGTTTAGAAACTTAAATTAGTAAGCAGTTTTCTTTTTTTTTTTAAATAAGAGATGGACAAGAATTTATTTTTGGAAAAGATTCAAAATTCGAGATCGAAAGTTGAAAAGTAATTTGTATACTATTTCAAACAATAGTGTACAAATTAATTTTTAAATAAAATTTTGAAAAAATTATTGTTTAGAAAAATTATGTGTAAAAAATTTAATTGTAATTCTAATAAATTTTTTATCCTTTGAATTATATTTAGATCAGTTGGCCGTAGTAATCGTCCATCTCTGTTTGTATTAATTTTAATTACTCTTCTTTTTCTCTAAATCAAAATCAGTGCGTTTATAGTTTTAGGAGAATATTTATGTATGTATAGTAGGGTGGCCCCAAAATGGGATTGCTGATGGACCATCGAAAATGAAAATCGCCAAATATTGACATCAGAACAATCATTTTTCTTAAAGGTTTCATATAATGAATCAAGCTTTCATTTTCTTTGAGAACATCACTACCTTTTTCCTACAATGGGGGCCACCCTATTGTATAAAATTACATAATAACTAATTAACTTCTTTTTAACTTAAAACTATTTTCTTAAGGACGTCGTCGTCGTTGTTATTGTGCTGCCGCTACTCGTTTTAGAGGGTTCAAATTTTTGCGTTAATGACGCCACTGTAGTCGATGGTTTCCCCGAAATCGTTGATCTAGCAGCTGCTGTGGTCGTGGGTGCTGTTGGTGCCTTTGTGGGCTTTTTTGCATTGATGTTGTTGTTGAATGATGGCTTTGCCGACAATGGCTTGGGTTTTTGTATGGTAGCACTTGGTTTATTGGCCACACCATTTGCTGGCAGTGTTTTTGGTTGTGTTACTGATTTTTGACCAAATGTTTTAGCCTTGGCTGCTCCAACTCCGCTAAATTTATTTTGTGTCGCTGAGCTTGAAGACGAAGACGAGCTGGCTGTTGCTGCTGCTGCGTTTGCTGAGTGAGGCGGTGGTTTAAAACTTGAAAATGCATTGGTGGGTGAAATATCTGATCTTGTGGGAGCCACTCGTGCTATGGGTGCATTCACTGGAGCTGGCCTTAAATAGGATGTTTGGGGTTGTGTTGTACTTAAACTAGTTTTAGTATTTGTGTTTATTTGAGACTCTTTTGTGGCGGTTGCTTCTTTTTTCACTTCCTCCACTTTGGGTTTTTGTGTTTCATCTTTGGATTTTTGTTTAACTAGATTCGTGGCTGTGGCTGAGTAAATCGAATCACCACCATTACGTTTTTCAATTTCATTGACTATTTCACCCAATAGTCCCATATCGGTACTACTGGCCACACTATTACGTTGACTGCCCACCAAATCACTACGTCTAATGGTCTGGGCAGCTGGTGGTATTTCATCTATAACAGAGTAAATGTTATCATTCTCATTGGTGCTGGCTCGGTGCAAGGGAGAATCTTGTTCCTCCACACTGGCCAAAGGTTGCTCGACAAATTCACAGTCATCGTAGGTGTGTTCCGGACCACGTTTAACTGCTATGGGCAATTGGTAACCAGATGAAGTAGTTGAATTAGTTTTCTTTAATGGTGGTGGTCTAGGCGGAGGACTTTTGGGTCTTGCCGCGTTTAGTGTTTGCGAGGAAACGGCACTTTTAGGTCTAGTTTGTCCCTGGGCGGTTTGACGCATAGAACCAAAGGTTGGTATATTGGGTTTCTTAGTGGGCGAACGCATAGATTGAGCACGTTTCACTAGATTTTTGGTTTCTTCCTCTTTGGGTGTTAAAGTTTCCGAATCTGAGTTGGAGGACTCACCAGGCGGTGAATTGTTAAGGGGAATGGGTGCGGATATTTCTAAATTTTTCAATTTTTCACGATCAATATAGGTTTTTTCTTTTGGTGGCACTTTTTCTTCCTTTTTCAAAAACGAGGTTATGCGGCGTATGGTGCCATCTCTTTTGACATTTAATTTAGGATCATTGTGTAAAGGTACTGGAGGTGGTGGTGCTGGCTTTAAGAATTCTACTTCTGGTACTGTGGGAGCTGGTCTAGTAGGAGACATTGAGAGTGTGGAATTCTCTAATACTGGCATGGATATTATGGGCCGGGCAGTCGAGCCGGGATTTGGCGGAGGTAAAGCCGGGCCTGGAGCTGTATTGGGGGCAACAGGTACCGCGGGAGCTTTCCTAGTTAAGGTGCCATTCAATTTAACTTCACTGGGTTTGAGAGGTGGTGGTGGTGCAGCTCTCTGTGGCACCTGCATTGAATTATCCTGTAAGGTAGGCTGAACATAGGCTACATTTGGTCCGGTAAAGTTACTGGTCGGTGAGGTGGCATCGTTTAGGGGCCTTAAAGTGAAACCTTTAAATTTGCCATACAAACCACCATTACCCACATTATCATTCGAATCACTGGGCGATTTCAGCAAAGCCGAATTCATATCATCCGTACTGCTGGGCGTAGATTTGGGTAAACCGTTGGCCTGCATTTGATTGCCGCTATTGGCGTGAGGACCTCTAGGCGGTTGTTTAGCACCGCTGGCTGATTTAATACTAAAAAAATAAAAATCAATGGTAGAATTAATAAAATGCTTTAAGTTTGCAAAAAAAAATTGTATTGTAACAAATATTTTTCCATCGAAAAATTATAGTGTTTTCTTGTGTAATATTGTAGTGTTTGTTTTAAAGTGTTTCAAAAGTTTAACATACCCATGCCTTAGATGTATGGAAACCATAAAGCCAATAAATTAACCAATCACCCAACTTAAATAAATGCTAGACAGACAGGCATAAACAAATATGTATTTCAAAACATCTAAATCTAAACAAGCTAAAACAATTAAATGGTTTAATGGTAATAAGAAAAAAAAACAAAAAAACAAAATAAAAAGAATATGAAGTAAAAGTAAATAGACCAAACACCATGCAAAAAGAAAAAAAAAACAAGCACAACTTAATTACATATTTAAAAAATGATAAATAAATTTATTAAAATTCAAATAATTACAGAAAATTATAATAAAAATTCTTAAAACTAATTATAAAGAAAACATAAAAACAATATTAAAATTAGTTTGAAAATTTGTTACAAAATATAAATTCCAGTTATTTGTGGTCTTAACATAGTTTTAAAAGTCTTATTATGAAGATAGGGTCTTCATGTTTGTAATTGTTTGCTAAACTTTAGGCTGAAATGTCTCAAAAACCTGATGTAGTGAACAAATTATGTGTTCAGATTAAGTTTCAGTGTAGCTCAGTCCTTTAGAAAAGTAGACTTGTTAAAAATTTGTTGGCCCTGGTAATTACAGTTTTTTAAGGGCCAATCTTTAGGTGAAAGATTAACGATTAAATTAAAATTAATCCTCGAAAGATGTTTTTGAGTACTCAATTAGTTAATTTTGTTTGCAAGTTTAAGCGCCCAATGAAGGTGGTTTAATCATAAGCACGAAATGCAAAAGTGTAAACAGCTGATGCAAAAAAATTAATAAAATTTTTATAAATATAAACATTAAAATGTTCTATTTATAGATTAGTATAAATTATGGACACTTCAAAATACATTTTTTTGTTTTTAATTTAAGTTTTCATTAATTTTCATATTAAATTTACAATTGTCTTCTTCTTTTTTATAAAATATGCATTGTTTTGATAACAAACAGTGAAGTTTTCTGTTGTTTTGTATGGCAACACTGCGAAGTTTAATCTTGTACTCAAAAACATCAAAGGGGATTAACATAAGATTAAATTTGTTTTTAGATTAACTAATCTGATTATTTATTGGCATTTGATTACCATCTCAAAAACCCGCTCTAAGAAATGTTGAAAATATTCGAAGCAGTAGTAGGCAGTAAAATAGTTTTTGTCAAAATATTTTATAAAATCAGTCAAATTTAGTTCATCCTTATAATAAAATTATAACTTAATAAAACAAAGAATTTCAAAATAAACTACTAAATAAAAAAATTTTAATAAAATACTAAATAAACATACAAATCCAATTCTACTTAAAGTTAAATATAATTTGTAGTATTGTATTTGCAATAAATGACATGCTGTGAATATCCTTAATACTAAATTCAATAGAATTTTTAAAATAAAACATGCACATTTAAGTAATGAAATAGGTAGATATAAAATATAATACTACAACGTAAACTCTCAACAAAATCACATATTTTTTTCTTTGCAACAATTGAAGCGTTAATTTCTTGATAAATTTTTTTGTTTTTGTTTTGGACTATAACATTTTTACATTCATGCTTGAATAAAATTCGATAGAAATTTGCAAGACTTTTTATAGAGGAAAAAAATAATTGGAAAATAAATGAAAACTTTCAAATAATAGTTTATAAATAAATTTTTTTTAAAATAAATCAATAAAATCATTGTGGTATTAGTGAAAGTTTAAAGGGTTTCACTAGTTGAGATACATAAGTCAGACTTTTCAATCTATTTTTATAAAGCTCTTATAGTAGAGAATGTTTATATTTTGGAGAGATTTAGATTCTTATGAAAATTGTTTATGTTGAATTTCATCTCTACATATTGTCATTTTGAAGCGAGTTATGAGCTTTGAAGTCATTTTTAGAAATGGATCTTAAATGGGGGCTAGGGTCAAATATGATATGACGAACATGCCAACATTATATTATAATCTAATAAGGACTCATCCTATATACTATTTTAATAAAAATATTACACTTTTCCAGTATAAACTTTGAAAATCATATAAATCTTTAGGAATTAAACAAAAAACAAGTAGGAAAGTATAGTCGGGCATGGCCGACCATATATTACCCTACACCATGAGTATATTTAAAAAAATTTTATTTTTCATAAAGAAACTTTTATGTTGAATTTTACCTTAATTCCAAAGTATTTAAGCAATTTATTGATAAAAAAAAACTAATTTTCTAAATATAAATATATATTTATATAGGAGTATAGGTCAAACATGGGCCGATACTCATTCAATTTGGGAAAAGGATATATTTTTAAGTAACAGTTATGTTTAGTTTCATTGCGATACAAATGGTTACAAGTCAATTTTAGACGTTTAAGACATTTTTTGAAGGGGGGTTTGTATGGGGGCTAGGGTCAAATAAAGGCCGATCATTACGAAAATCTGCAGTGTCATTTATAATTATATAAAACATAGTTGTACGTAATTACGTAATTATGGCATAAAAATCCCAAATCGGGAGGTACGGTTGTATGGGGGCTAGGTGAAATAATGGACCGATTTCAACCATTTTCAATAGGCTTCGTCCCTGTGCCAAAAAACATGTTTGGTCCAAATTTCATCAAATTATCTTGGAAATTGCGGCCTGTACCTTGCGCACAAGGTTTATTTACATGGACAGCCAGCCAGCCGGACAGACGGACGGACATGTCTTAATCGACTGAAAAGGTGATTCTGAATCGATCGGTATACTTTACAAACATCAGCACAAACGTATAATACCCTCCCCACTATAGTGGTGTAGGGTATAAAAACAATTTGCTCTTTTGCAAAACATTCTCAAATCTCAAGAGATCAAAATTCTATTAAATCAATGAAACAAACAGACGGACGGACATGACAACATCGTCTTAAAATCTTATAAGGATCCAGCATATATACACTTTTGTATAAAAATATTACACTTTTCCAGTCTAAACTTTAGAAATCTTTAGGAAATATAACAATTTGCACTTTTGTAAAATTTTCTCAAATATCAAGAGATCAGAATCAGATAAACAAGATTGATTATGAAGAAAAAACAAATAAATCAACTAAAATGGAAAATATTGAAAACATTAACTAAAAAATATGAAATTAAATTAAAAAAAAATTTAAATCACAGTGTATCTATTGTCTTGCATTATTTCAACATCGAATCCAAAGAGTATTGAATGTTACAAATGATAGACACACCTATTGGTTTCATCGTTAATGATATAAGTGGTGCCATCTACAAGTGCAAGTGGATTTGTGGTGGAATTTAAACGAACATCAGTGATTTCAAATTTACGTCTCAGTGTATTGACTTGATTTATATTTGAGTTCGTATTGGATTTTGATTTGGAATTTGATTTCATTTCAGCTGGTGGAGTCTTAATATTTTTATTATTCACATTATTATTTTTAACTAAATTATTATTATAATTGGTAGTGGTCGTAGTTGCTGTTTTTGTTGTTGTTGTTGGTGAGGGAGTGGTACCATTAGCAGTAGTGTTGGTAGCTGATGATATATTTTTCTTAGACCTGCTAATGCTATTAGTATTATAATTATTATTATTATTATTGACACTGGGTGGCGGTGGTGGAGGCTTTAAAATAGCTTGTATTTTCGTATTTATATGAGGTTTCGTTATATTCGCCGTTATTGGTTTTTTGTTCGTTGTTGCAATTTCGTTGTGAGATTTTGAAATAGTTAAATTTGTTTGTTTTGTAAATTTGGAAAAATTTTCATTAGATGCTGAGGTATGCAAATTATTATGAGATTTACGTGTTGATAACTTGGGTGTGGTAGTGCAAGAAATTGTTGTATTTTTGGTTATGGTTAATGGTAGTGTTGTTTTTGTTATTGTTGCAGTTTTATTTTGTATAATTGTTGTAGTATCGGAAGTTTTTGTTGCAGTTTTTGTAAGTGTTGTTGTTGGCGGTTTGAGTTTAACACTAGTTTTAGGTGATAGAGTGGAGTTACATTTGAAAGTAGATGTAGATGAAGAGGTAGAGGGTGAAGAATAGGTAGTGGAAGAGGAGGGGGAATTCAAACTTTTACAAATATTAGGTGTTACTGTGGTATACGAACTAGTGCTAAAGGATAAACCATGTTTTTGATTTGATACATACATATTTTCAGCCAATTTGCCACCAACGAAGAGCGGATGATGACGACAATAGTACATGAAGAAACAGAAGGCAGCCATGATGGGTAAAACGGCAAAGAAGAAGATATACAAAAAGCGCTGGAAAGCTTCGTGACCTGGAAGAAAATTAAAAAAAAAAATTAAAGAAATTTCATTATGATGGAGTAAAGAATACGTACTATTGGGATTAGTGGCTGGACCACTGTCTACTGAACCTCCTGGTCCTGGCATTTTACAAGTAGGTCCCGTAAATCCTATATTACAGTGGCAATTACCCTTGCTATTGCATATACCATTGCCATTGCAGTTCTCTGGGCATTCCTTGCCCATGCCGGTATAACGCAAATGTTCTATGGCTAGACATTTCTGGTCAACACACATTTTATTATCACCACATTTGGCACCATTTGGTGTTAATCCCGGATCCATAAACTGTAAACCTAAATCTACTAAAGCTGATCTACAGGGCACAATATTGTTGTCGTGAGTTATAAAGGAATGTGACAAAACGGCTGCAGTTTCCATGCCAAATTCCAGTTTTTCATTTAAATGTCTACAGTGCAACATACCACACAAAGCATTCTCTTCTTCACAGGCTATATAGGTACTATTCAAGCGATTGTAGCCACAATTACCCACTCTCTTGCCTTGAACATTCATTTGGGCATAACAAGGTTCAGAGTTTTCTCCTGTGGGTCCCCATAAAATGCGACATTGATAAGAATGAGATCTACAATTACCCTGATAACAATAGGCCTGGCCATTGTCACACTCTTCTGTGTCACGTTTGAAAACATCACGCGGACAATACTCCGATTCACCGGTACAGTATTCGGGCAAATCACATTCATTTTCCGCATTACGACATTCGGTGCCGGCTATTTTGGGACGACAGGTGGTTAAATCACAACATTCTCCGGTGGCACAAGAGGCATTTGTATGCAACATACAAGTATAAGGATCACAGCAGGTATTTTCACAATAGTTCGGCAAGCCACAATCACACTGTTCGCCCGGTTCCACAAAACCATTGCCACATTGTGGTGAATCGAACAGTTTAGTGGGTTTATTGCGCAGACAATAGTTCATGCCTCTCGAAAAGGCAATATTTAATTGATCTATGCTACAGGAACTCCAATGGGTGGGTAATACTGAGGTACTACTGGCAGACATAATACACTTTTCATCTTGACATTTACAATCGGAGGAGTCATGTTCCATGCCAAAATTATGACCCAATTCATGGGCCATGGTGGTAGCCACAACACCTACTACGGGGCTGTGTTCTACGCTAACACTGCCAGAGTATTCGTGGGTGCAAATGGGTCCTTTAAAGGCTTTGCCTGTAATTTTTAAGAAATATTAATAAAATTCTATTATTAAATATATGTCACCTAAAAGTAGGCTTTAGTTTTAATTAGTTTTAAAAACCTTAATGTTATGCTTTCATTTCTGGTAGTAAAGAAAGTGGCGGTTCACACACAGCAACTTTTGTCGCTAAATTTATGAGTTTGTTGGAAATAGAGGAAGAAGAAAACCAACAAACTCAAAAAGTTTAGTAACAATCTTTGCTGTGCGTGGATCGGCAAAAGGTGTTAAATGTGTAATTTCATATTTGTCAAATTCCACTTACCTACTACACCCTTATCGAATTTAATCTTTGTCAACAGTTGAGCCGAATCATTTGGATGCTCCAATACCAATTTCGTACGTCTATAATTTAAAAAATTTCTTAATGTCACATCAGCATCAGGTGTTATTTCAATTTCATTCGATTCATTCCATATAACAACACCCACTAAAGCTATGAAAATATTTAAAGGAACATAGAGCTGGAAAATTGAGACAAATTTAGGAAATCATGTCAACATCTTTTTTTCTTATAAAGGAACACTTACAGCATTCATAATATTGGCTAAATCTTTACAATGTTGATGAACTTTTTTGATATTTTCATTAAAAGATTTAAAGGCTTTATTGTCTACTACTATAACGATTTCCACATAGGATGAATGTTTATTGGAATTATAGGGTCCACGTATCATATTACTGTCATCATAAGAACGTTTATGCTGTAAGAGGGAGGTGATGAAAACGTAAATTTAATTATAGAGATAAATAAGATCGGAGGAAGTGAGATATACTTACCCTTAAAATGCGATTAAATTCTAAACCATCTATATGATTGGCTATATCAGGCACCTTATTGTCTTCCAAATTCTTGAGAAAATCTTGTTTCTCTTCATGATGTTCATGATCATAACCACAAGTGGTATTTTTAGTAAAATCTCCATGTCTGTAGAAAATTAAGAAAATTCTTTTAAAATGTAATATTAAAAATATTTTTTATGTAGTAATACTTTTGTTTACAACTGTATATATTGCTTTTATAACCTCAAATTTGAAATTAATACGAAAAACAAAATTAATTTCCTAAAAGGAAAATCCACTCTATTAAGTATTCAATAAGCAGGAAGGAACTAATTCCTATACGTTTGCCTTGATCTCATAAAATAACCAAACATTTTATTAACTATTATTTTGTTTGTAATCATCTCTCCCATTCCTCCCCATTCCCATTTCAACGCACAATAGTGCGTGTATACAAATGTTTAATATTGTTCTTTCGTTGTCTATTTCCATTTGTTTGCCAAATAAACCATAAACAAATATTTAGTCAAGTGTTTTGTTTATTTTGGCCAGTTATACCAGCAGCTAGTTGTAGCATTAACCACAAACTTTTAACCATAAACATGGAACGTTCCCTCAATGACTATGTCAAAGCTAATGCGTTATTTACTTTATTGGCGTGTGCTATTGGATATTTAGACGTTATTATAAATATTTTTAAATATATTTTCGACTACTGTAATTGTGCTTTTAAATGTCATATTTAACTCATAATAAATTTCTTAAACGTTGAGTAAATAACAAATCAATTTCGAATTTACATTAGTATTATTAATGAAAAAAATATTCATAGATGAAAAAGAAGTAAATACTTTAAGATTTATTATTATTAATTTTAATAATTGATCAAGAAATTTTGAAATTTATAAGGGCGGGTTTCTTACTACTCAGTTAAATGTGGTTAGATTAAACTCGGAACAAATTAAAGGCGGGTTTTTCAGATAAAGATAATCTACATTCTTTGTTTAAACCTAGTTTAATATATGTTTTGTGTTTTTCAGTAAACAGTAACGTTACTTATTATCTTAGTTTAACTGAGTGTTATTGGCCAATTAAACTTAAGTTATAAGTGAGAAGACACATTTAATAAAAACAATAAAACAATGATTTCGGAAGAACAAAAACTTAATATTTTAAGTAAATTGCAATCTTCCGATTTGTTTTGTTTTAATTATTATTGTTTTAAATGTTTATTTAACATTTTTCCAAAATTTTTCATTTTACAAAAGTATTATTTGCAAAAAACAGCTGTTCATTGTTTATGTTTTTGAGTGAAAAGTTATCAATACTAACAGAGTTAACTGAACTTAAATCTATAACTGAAAAACACAATCATCGGTTAAAGTCCGTCTAAATTTGTTCCGAGTTTAATATAACACCAAGTTAAGCCTAGTTTAAATGAGTAGTAAGAAACCCGCCCTAAGGAGTACTTTAAACGTTTAAATTTAACCCGTTAACTTTGTTAGTATTGCCAACTTTTCAGTCAAAAATTTAAACAATGGACAGCTGTTTTTAAAAATAATACGTTTGTAAAATGAAAATTTTTAGAAAAAATTATAATAAACATTGAAAACAATCAAAATATTGATAAAACAGATAAAAACTTTATTTTCAAATGATTTCGAACATAAGTTTGAATTTTCGAATATTAAAAAAACTTATCACATATATATTTTGAAAACTCTCAAAATAGGAACAATTACGTATTTTTAAGGAAAGAAGATCAGATTCGAAGATATACACACAGGCCACTATAGGGACTGTTGTACGCCCTTTTGCCAGAATCTCTGGAGGGAATTGAAACCACAAACTGACAGACTACAACACTATCAACTGGTAAAATGGTCAGAATTCTTAAATATAACTCCTTTATAAACCTGCATTAAGATGTTTTCAGATAAACAGTGACAACAGATTTCAAATTTCCTTCGATATGGCTAAACACTTCTAATGACTGCTAATGTGAGCCAGACATATCTTAATGAATATAAATGTGAGTTTCTTAATATCCTAACTATCCCAGTTTTATGGCCAAAAGAAAAAGTGAAATAAATACAATAAATAACTCACCTATACAAAAAATGTTCATCATATAATTGCCCATCACTGCCAGAGTGTATGAAAAATGTGTCAATGCCATCGAAAATGATGCCATTAATGCCGCCATTACACGTCGAAACAGCAACATACGATTGAGGTTGGTCACGTATAGAACCCTAATTGAATCAAAGTGCAAAAAAGTAACAATTTAATTAAATTGTAAAAAATACAAAAGAAATTGTAATAAAATGTAAGAATAAGAATAATAATAAAAATAAGAAAACTTGCCTGATAATGACACAATTCAATTTCAGTCTTGGTAAAATTTTTCACAACATGTCCTTGTGTTATATTCGAATTTTGATAACGTAAAAAATGTTCTGAAGGCAGTAAGTCATCGTTACGTTTAAGATCAATTAAAATCTGTTGACCTTTATGATGATACGTTAAAGTGATATGAGATGCATGTAGACCATCCTGTAAGAAAATGACAAAGAAAAATATTAAATTATTTTATTACTAAAGTTAATTTCAGTTTTATTAGTTTAAAATGTGTGTTGGTTAGTAAAATTTAAAATTTGCTAAGTTTTAGTTTAACCCACATAAAAATAGCGAATTAATGTTTTAGAAAAAGCCATATAAGCAAAAAAGTTTAAAAAAATAGGTTAAATTGAGCCCACCCACTGTTAGATGTTTTAAAATGTCATGCGGTCTAACAACATTTAATAATAGAGTAAAGAATTAGAAAAAAATGTTATATGTATAATTTATTTAATCATCTTTGGAGTTTGTATGATGTATCATCATACATCATGTACATACATACATATGTATGGATAATTTCTTTATACGCTCTAGTTTTTGTCTTAATGTTGGCTTTTTGCCGTTTTCTCTTGAAATTGGTTGTGTACTTATTTTCCGCCTGAATTGTTGCCAAAAGTTTTGATTTTTTACACATAGAATTTTAATTAGTTTACATTTTACGTTGTGTGCATTGAAACCAAACAAAATTTATAACATTTGAATACATTTCGTATTCAAATGGGTTTTCAGGCGATGTATTGTTTATTTTTAGACAAAAATTGGTGTGTGAAAATTAATGTTAAAAGTTCAGAGCATATTTTTATGTTTCCAACTTAATGCAATTTTTAGGAAAAGATTTTCAAAACAAGTAAAAGGTCTATATTCGAATCTTTTATACCCTTTATTTAATTCTTAGTTAGTTCGTTTAAAAGGAGGATGTATATAAATTAAATCCGAAGAAATACACCTAAGCCTCTAACGGGCCTGTTGTGCGCTCTTAACCAGTACCTCAGGTGGGAATCGAACCCACCACCTCCGTTCTATCAGACTAGAATACTATCCACTTATCTTAGTGTTTGTTATTGTTTTCATTGTAATTGCATTGAATGACTAAAATTCTTATCTTGTGTTAAATGTTGCTCATATCTCCGTTATTTATGCACCGATTTTGCTGATTTTAAATAGAAAACTTCTCTAAAGCATGTCTGAAACAATTATACATGATTTGAACCTCAGAGATATCTACGTTCTTTGGGCAAATTTATTTAAATAGAAATACATACGGACATAGCTAAATCGCTAGCTACGAGGATTCTGAAAATATATACTTTATAGGCCGGTTTGTCAATTATGGGGCGATCCTTATAAAATTTGGTGGACAGATTTTGCTTTCTATAAAACTTGTTTATATCGAATTACATCGCTATAATGGTACTTTTAATCCAGTTATGAGAGTTAAATTTATTTTCTAAAATATTGGGGCAAATATGGCTCGTCAATATAATTTCTCCGTATCGCTTGTAAGGGGGGCTAGGCGAAATTGCACCATTATCAAATAAACCTTGTCTATAGAGAAATATGTGTGGTAAATTTTAATCCCCCTGTGTGCTTTCAACATACAGACGTCTTAGAATACAAGAAGGTCTTAAAATAGATGTTCCGACCATATTTCAATATCTTTTTTAAGGTGAGTATAATAAATAGGAGAACAGCTTGAGATTTTTCAGTAAACTAAACTCTGAATTGAAATGATATATCGAAAACCCAAAGAAATTAAAAGATTTATTGAAAATTTTGTCAAGTAACACTGTAAGTATAAGAAATTGTCGCACCAAAACGTCGAGACACTCAGTTTTGCAGTATCGAGTCTAAATAAGGAGATATAGAGAGACATCACAAACTTTGAATTGCTGGGTTCCAATGAGAGATGTTTATGTCAATTCTCTTGCCCATACTTGTATATACAGGTGGACCTTATTATCAACAGTTGACCTTAGGTTAGGTTACGTTTACTAGTGACGCATCTTTGAGACAGTCCAGATCATGGAAAAGAGTTCTGCCAAGATAGAGTAGTCTGTACTCTTGTAAGACTGGGCAGTCACATAGAAGGTGTTGTACAGATTCCTCTTCTTCCTCGTCCAGTCGACCTTACTCGATAAACATAAAATTAACTGGTTCAAAATAAAGCTTTCCACAGATGTACAGACGGACGGACATGCTATATCGTCTTAGAGTTTAATAAGGACCCAATATATATACTTTTGTGGGTCTAATTAAAACATTTTGGAACTTAAGTCCGAATTATAGAAAATTAACAAAACATTGCAATTTCAGTGTAAATGTATTTCCTTTTAAAATTTTTTAAGTTCGAGGTCTGTTTTGAACCCAGAGTCTAAAAGAATTTTTACATCACCTCAGGTTTTTGAGATAACGTGCCCTAAAACCCCGACACCTTGATTTATAACATTAAGAAATCTTTTGTGAATTCTTAATTGACAGATCGAAAGAAATGATCGCTTAAGTAGCTATATTCTTTTCCTGAAGTATTCCGACATATGAGAACATGATTAATTTACACATTTTTAATTCATAATAACTTTACCTTTAGGCAAATAATGAATAGTTAAGTGTCTTCCATTGCGATAATGATGTCCGTTTTTAACTATCAATTTCAAAAAAAAACTTATAAACTGATTGAAATCATAAATAATTATGAACAAAAAACCGACAGAAAGTTTGTTAACAACTACATTTCATCTGACTTATTAAATTATAAAGTATGTTAATTCTAAAAACATTTGATCAAGCACACCTCAGATTTGCATGTCTAAAGCAAATTATAAACTTCATTAAAAGTAGACACGCATAGAAGTTAAAAAAAATTAAATTGGGCAAAGAATTAGCCAAAAGAAAAACAGATGATTGTGATGATTCATTTAAAAAATAATGTGAAAAATTATAATTCAAACTTAGAATAGACCAAATGCTGTAGAATGTAATTATTAAAAGAAAATAAATATAATTAAATTCCCAAATTACTTACCGCATCTAATGTATGACGTATTTCTCTTTTATGTCTGGCATGATGAATTTTTGGACGTATCACAGAATGTGATGAAAAATCATCTAAAATAGCGAAATTATTTGAAGTAGCACCCGTTACAAACTTAGAAGTAGATGATGGTGATGATGATGATGATGATGACGTTGATGATGAATAAGCTAAAAGTAAAGAATAGAGAAAAAAAGAAAGAAAATTAGAAAAGACTCAGACAACTATTGTTAAGAATATGTACTATAGAAATTCTATAGTATAATTAAGTAAAATATAATTACATAAAACATTTAACACATTGCCTGATGACACTGAATGTGTAAAAGACGTTTGTACTCTAAAGGTCTGATTTAATGACCATTTATTACAAAATCCTCTTAGAAAATCTTTAACAAAACTTACAATTACAGCTGCTTATTTAACTTATTTATACACACATTCTACTACATACATAAATGCCATAATAAGCTTATTAGCTGTTAAGTAAGAAGTCTTGAAATCAGGAGGAGAAAACTTTTTAACTTTAATTATAAACTTATACAGAAAAGTTAGAATTGGAAAGTTACTGTAAGAACAATTTTTAAGGGAATACTTAATAATGCAAAGAAAATTGTGCATTTACCCTATAATTTATTAAATACGTTTACCTAATGTTGTGCTTTATAAAATATTTATAAGTTCGCTCCTAGATGTATGCAATACTATATATATTAGTTTTGAAAAGGTGTTGCAACTAACTTGATTAATTTGTTTCAATGTTAAAACTATTGTAAATTTTTTAATCGTCTAAATAAAATACACCTAAAAGTAGGTAGAGTTTTTATTAAACTAACTGTTACCTAATGATATGCTTTATAAAATATATATATGTTCGCACCCAGCTGTATGTATAACCAAGTATTTGTTTTAAAAAGGTGTTGCAACAAACTTAAGTAATTTGTTTCAAGGTAAGACTATTGTAAAGTTTTTAATTGTCTTTTTATGATTAAGCTTTTGTTAAGTAAAATGCAGCTAAAAGTAGTTAGGGGTTTTATTAAACTAACAACCCTGAAACTATGCTATTATATTTTATTAAATAAAAATAACACTATTCTCAAGTTTTTCTTAAAAACAAATTGAAGGTTAAAATTAATAATATAAAGAGATTTGTATATTTACCTAATAAATTATTTAATGTTGCTACCTAATGGTATGCTTTATTAAATATGTATAAGTTCGCGCCCACAGAAATATGCACTAATAAGTATTTGTTTTGAAAAAAGGTGTTACAACTAACTTGATTATTTAGTTTCAAGGTCTAGTCTAGTTTTTAATTGTCTTTTTTATGACTAAGCTTTTGTTAAATAAATGTCCCTAAAGGTAGACAGGAATTTTGTTAAAGTAAAAGCCTACAAATATGCAATTCTTTGTAACAAATGTATTTAAAGCATTTTAACTTATTACCCATCTTAAAAGTTAAAGCGTTACAAATGCTGTGACTTATTTAATATAACTTTAAAACTTGTAAAGGTTTACTGGAACTTTAAAAGTCAATTAACACTTGCGTTTTTTACTCAGTTTTTCAACTTCCAAGATACTTGCCGCACATTGCATAGAGAGTATAAAGAAAAAAACTAAAACTGTGGTTGACACAAAGAGAACATTAATGGTATGGTAGTGTTGTGTTTTAATGCAAACATTTGGAAAATTGGATATCTATAGTCGCCGATAATTGATATTGAAGACAGGAAAGCTACCAAATTTATTCTAGGGGAAGTATCGAACAATACTGGTTCTGTGAACCTTTTATAGGTAGCTGTATGTCAATTTAGCTTTTTATCCGAAAATTAATATTGTCGGAAAAGTGTTCACGATTAGCAAAGAAAGACTGATTTTTATAGTCAATATTATATATTTGCTCGTATGGTAAAAACGATGTATTTGAGAACCATTATAAAGTATTTGGTATTAATGACCGAAAAATGAATCAGTTTCACATACGATATTCACACGACTCCAATTAAATTACTTAATTACCTTTCTGAAAACATGTTAAGGTTATTTGGACTTAAATTTTGGAATTAAGATTTGAATTGCGAGAAATAGAGAGTAAACTACAAATAAATTTGTCGTGGGAACATGGTAGAAAACGCTCATGAAAAATAATAGTAGTACTTTTATTAAAACAGTTTGTACTTTTCGATCGTTAATTTTTATAGATCATTTAGTCAATTAACTAATTTGGTAACTGGTTATGGATTATTGACTACTCTGTTGTCTAAGTAGTCTGTGGACTAGTCTATTTAAGGATCTATAGACTAAACTTTTGACTATACTATGGACTAGATATTGATTATTCTATGGACTGGTCCATTGACTATTCAATGGTCTAGTCTACTGACTATTCTATAGACTAGTTTATGATCTATTCTAGTCTATGGACTAGTCTATGAGTTACTTTATTGACAACTATAATAGACTAACAAATGGACTCCATGGCGAATTTGGAAAAATTTTGAGAATTTGTTTTGTTTTTTGACACCTTTAAATTAAACTAAAGTTTTTGAGTGCTTTGAAAATAACAGTTATAGTTTTGCAGTTGTTAAATTAAATGTCAACTTTTAAATCAAATGTTTAATTAAAGCAAGCTTAAACTAAAGAAGATTAAACTATTAAACCTTTTTGTATAATTTAGAATAAAAAAGATTAGGTCAACTATTAAACTATTTATAGGAACTAACCAAACTAAATTTAAATGCAAATTCATCAGTCTGTCAAACAACTGTCACTACATCACTGTCAATGCAAAACACATGTAAATATTACTTTTCTCACGCCTTCTATATGTATATAAAAAACAAATTGTATTTACAAGCTTAAAATTACAATAATCTGTTATCACGAGAAACCAATAAAATAGAAAACAAAAAAAAAAAAAAAAAAAAAAAAATAGGTCACATCAAGACTCCCCCGCGTATAATTCAAACAACAATAATGTGACCTCACATGGTTCTCAGATAAAATTTACTCTGTGTACTACAAGTACACAGATACAAGTATTTACAGATGGTTATTGCATTAGGAACCAATAACCAAAGTGTTTGAGTAAATATCTTAGGCATGCATACAATTTACATACATGACGCCAATTGCTTTGCGAGTTGTAGCTACTTCTTCTATGCCACTTCTAGCAGACATTTATCTCTCTAATACAGGGGTTCTTCTTCATTATGAAAATATTTTGATGCATATGAAGTGATGTATGCCAAAAGTGTTGATGGATGCAGACAACAGAATGGTTGACATAAAAAAATCAACAACATTTTGTTATGCCTCTTTTTTCATTTTGACGAATTCGTCAAAAAGAATTAGATGAATTTTGTGAGTTCCTGTAAAAATATATCTGGAGCAATGTAGAGTGTTTTTTTCTTGTTACTTAAGGGGTTTTGCTATTTTGTTATTGTTGTTTATTGTTTTGTAAATTGATGCCTGTTGTCTTGAGATTTTTTCTTTTCGTATTATTGATTTTTTATGTAAATTAATTGTAACATACTCTCGGAACACATTCATGATGATAAATGATAGACTAGAGTAATTTTTATTGTTGTAGGAGAATGTAAATGTAATTAAATATGGCGCCATAGATTATTATGGCAATGCCCAGTTTAATGTGTGACAAGTGACATTGTTTAAATTGTTAAGGAAAAAAAGAAAGAAATAAATAAACTAACTGGGAATATTAATTGAAGTGGCAGAAAGGGAAGGTAACCTCGAGGAAATATGAAAGAGCGGGAATGCTTAAAGTTAGATTTATCGCTTACTTTTTTACTGTAAGATAATGCAGTGAAGGAGTAGTTTGAGTTTACTAGGTAAGGCAAGTAGGGACTTTGTTAGAAAAGTAGTTATTTAGGAAATTATTTTAGCTCAGGCTTGGAAACAGACTTGAAAGAGCGTAGACTCCTCCATTTACTAGTGGGCATATTAATTTATAGACGATTCAATACACTAGACCATAGACTAAATTGTAGAATAGTCAATCGACTAGTAAGTCGACTACTCCATAGATTAGTGCGTACGCTAGTCTAAAGAATAGTTCGATGATTATTTCATAGACTAGTCTGTAGACTAGACCATAGACTAGACTAGACCACAGGCTATACTAGACTATTGTATTGACTTCTGCATAGACTAGGCCATAGATTAGTCCATAGAGTAGTCAATAGAATAGTCCATAATGTAGTATGAATATTAGTGTATAGATAAGTCCATAAAGTAAACCATGGACTCGTTTGTATAGCAGAGAGTCAACTATTCTATAGATTAGTACATAGATCATACAATAGTTCGAAGATTAGTTCATAGACTATATCATAACCGAGACCATATACTAGTCCATATACTAGTCAATAGACTACTATATAGTATAGGCAATAGACTAGGCAATAGATAATTCCATAGAGTAATCAATAAAGTAAACAATGGATTCGTAATAGAGTAGTGAGTCGACTATGCTATAGATTAGTACATAGATCACACAGTAGTTCGAAGATTAGTTCATAGACTATATCATAAACGAGACCATAGACTAGTCCATATACTAGTCAATGGACTAATACATAGGATAGGCAATAGACTAGTCAATAGATAAGTCCCTAGAATAACCAATAGGCTAGTTAATAGATAAGTCCCTAGAGTAACCAACAGACTAGTCCATAGATAAGTGGGTAAACTAGTCTATAGACAAGATCATAGACTCGTCCATATAATAGTCAATCGACTAGTCCATAGGGTTGTCAATAAACTTATATATAGGTAGTCAATAGACTTATATATAGATAGTCAATTGACCCGTCAATAGACTGGTCAATAAACTAGTCCATATAATATTTCATAGACTAGTCCATAGAGTAGTTCATAGACAAGTTTATAAACTAGACTATGACCAGCCTATAGTCAATAGTCCACTCCATAGATAAGTAAACTAGTCAATAAATTAAAAAAAAAAAAACTAAAACTTAGTACTTTTAATATATAAAAAGTACCATACATTTTGTTCAAAATTAGGACCAAAGAATAAACAAGAAGTGAAACGCTGTAATTTTTTTACAACAATAACATTACGCTCTTCTCACAGACGAGTGCTGTGTAAATCCAACACATATGTAAAAATTTTATTCTCTCTCCAAAC